AAGCTGCATGATCCCAGGATGCCTCCAGCAGAAGAGAATGGTAAACCACCTTTCTCTACTCTCTACCTAGAAAACCCTGAAATAGGTTGCCATAGGTCAGAATTGACTTAACGGCACGCAAATCATAGTTATTCAAGGCAGAAGAACCCTGAAGATCAATGGTTGGCAATGGAAACATTCAAGTTTTAGACGCTTTTCTCTATTGGCATTTAAACTCTGCATAAGGGAAATGGCACACGTCGCCGTGGCAAATTGCCATTAACGCCCTACACCCAGATTACTGCATCAGCATAAGTTGGCAACAACGAAGAGAAAGACCTCAGCCAAGCGTTCATCAAAAAATGTACCCCTGTTCAGAATATTACATTTTAGCAAAGGGAGCAAGGCAAATGCATTGATGGGATTGTTCTGTTGACTGCTAATGAAGCATTCTCATTTATATGGAAAATGTTTGTTTGTTTGTTTTCCTTCAAAGTTTAATTACCAGGGCTTCAATATAGTCGTACGTCAAGAAGCCATGTGCTGTATGTGGAATAATATACCAGCGGCGCATGAATCTTGTGAGACATAATGGGCTTATTTAAAGTCTGAACTCATAATACAGATAACTCATCAACCTCAGCCTAGCTTTTAATCACAGTTAAGCCCAAATTGCAGTCACTCTTAATGATGTTTTCATTCAAAGTGATTAACTGCAGGTTTCTTTCCTCAAAAGTTTCAGGAGCTGCCAACACAGACCAGCTCAAGGCAGAGTTTGGGGAAATTGAAGTTTAGGGTTACACCTGCCAGGGGGATTCTGGGAGTTGTAGTCCAAGTAGTTTTTCTAAATTTCGGTTCAAGCTCCGCATTGCCTAAAATCTGTGCAGTTCAGCTATGCTTGTATTCAACTAGAGATGGGCATGAACTGCTTTGTCCCAGTTAGTAAAGGCAAAAGCACAAGTATTGCTGCTCCCTTTTCCCCGTCTCGTCAGCAAATTCAGCCAGTCACCAGGCCCAGCTTGCTTACATTTTCCACCTCCTTTGGGAGACAGACTCCCCCCCCAAAAAAAACCTGCACAACCACACACACAGGCCCTTTGTGCATGTGCATGCACACCACCCGCACAGCTCCTTTGTGCATGTGCATGCACACCAGTGCCCACATGACTGCTCCCCCACCCTTTTGCGCATGCGCACGAGTGCCCCTACGCCACACCACCGTTTGCACATGTGTCTTGCAAGCTGCAAGACTTCATTAATTGCCTGGAGTCTGAATAAATGGAGGCACAAATGAAAACCATCAAACATTTGAGAGACCTACTCCTCAATCTTAAACACCTGCAGCTGCCCTAGAATGACATGCTGAAGTACTTTTGTTTAGCCAGCTCATCTTGCAGAGGAAGTAATGGGTCTTGCTTATCACTGAAACTATTTCTCATGCTTTCATGTTTGTGGGACTAACATGTTATCATAGACTAACAGACTGGCTGAAATCCTATTGCTTCAACTACTAGGTTGCTCTAGAGTAGGCCCACTGAATCAGTGAGGATTCCATTAGTCAACTCTATTAATTCTGACGGGCCAGCCTAGTTGACACTTACTTTAGTGTAGTAAGTTGCAACTAAAGCAGGCCCATTTAGATCAATGAAGCTTATGGAGGTGTTGACTCACCAAACCTCCATTGATTGAAGGAGTCTGTTAGGCTTTGCAACAGAATTTCAGCTGAAGTCTACTGCTTTTTTCAGAGATAAGGGATTCTTTCCCCCTTAGTTGTTTTCAAGAGTATTTAATGACATACATTCCTAGAAACAGCAGGGTAATGTAGTAATTACAGTGTTGAATTAAGAGTTCTTTTTTCTTGTCAAAAGCAACCCAGTATGGTTTGTGGAGTAGAAAGAGCAGCTGGCGTTGTTTTGCAACACATTATCTTTAAAGGAGAAAACAAAGTAATAAAAAGTGTGTGTGTGTGTGTGTGTTTAAAGACAAAAATGTGTTGGCACCTTAAAGACTGACTTTTATATATATTTTTAATTGTGAGTTTTCATGGACAAGACCACTTCCTCAGACGTAAGAGAAGGAGATACAACATGGCAAATATTTATACCTAGCAACGAAGTACAGTATAGATATCAAAATACAGAGATTGGGGTTGGTTGGTAAGAAAGTCTGGGTGTTAAAGAATCATAGAATAATAGAGTTGGAAGGGGCCTACAAGGCCATAGAGTCCAACCCCCTGCTCAATGCAGGAATACATATCAAAGGATGTCTGCCAGGTAGTTGCCTAAATTTCTCTCGAATGCCTCCAGTATTGGAGCACTCATCTCCTGTCAAGGTAACTGGTTCCACTGTCGTACTGCTCTAACAGTTAGGATGTTTTTCCTGATATTCAACTGAAATCTCACCTCATGTAACTTGAGCCCATGATGATGTTTCCTGTACTCTTCGATGATCAGGATGTTTTTCCTGATATTCAACTGAAATCTCACCTTATGTAACTTGAGCCCATAATTATGTGTCTTGCACAATTATTCTTCGATAATTGAGAAGAGATACTGCCCCTCCACTGTATGACTGCTTTTCAAGTATTTGAAGAGTGCTATCCTATCTCCCCTCTTTTTTCAAGAGTAAACGTGCCCACTTCTTTCAGTCTTTCCTCCTAGGGCTTGGTTTCCAGCCCCTTTGTTGCCCTCCTCTGAATTCTTCCCAATTTGTTTGAAGTGCAGTGTCCAGAACTGGACACAGAACTCAAGATGAGGCTTAACCAGTGCCCAATAGAGGGGAACTAGTACCTCACAGAATTTGGAGACTATACTTCTGCCAATGCAGCCCAAAATAACATTTGCCCTTTTTGAAGCTACATCACATTGTTGGCTCGAATTCAGATTGTGATATGCAACGACTCCAAGGTGCTTCTCGTTCATACTAATGCTGAGCCATGTATCCCCCATCCTGTAACAATGTGATTTCTTTTTCCTTGGTGCAGTGCCCAAAATAACATTTGCCCTTTTTGAAGCCACATGACATTGTTGGCTCGTATTCAGATTGTGATATGCAATGACTCCAAGGTCCTTCTCGTTCATACTGTTGCTGAGCCATGTATTTCCCCCATCTTGTAACGATGTGATTTCTTTTTCCTCAGTGTAGTATTTATCCCTATTGAATTTCATTCTGTTGTTTTCAGCCCAGTGCTCACACACATCTAGATCATTTTAATTTTGTTTCTCTCTTCCAGGGCGTTAGCTATTCCACCCAATTTTGTGTCATTGGCAACATTGTGATGATAGTGTCTTTGGTACACAGTTCTTTCCTAGAAACTTGTGTTGGAAAGAATGTGAGAGTCTTTAAAGCCACTTCACAGACAAAAAAAAAAAAATCAAACTTTCTCATTCTCCAGCACCATTCAGCAGAGATTTATTTCCCAGCCTGGCGAAATCTTCATGTTCTGGGACCTCAGCTGGTCCTGTGAGATCTAGCAACCCTATAAACCAGGCATGGGAAATACACCCCTCCTCCAGATGGCTTTGGTTTATTTGCATTGGACAGGTGTGCCCTAATAATTCTACAGGTGGATCTCTCATCATTGCATCTACAGGCTAGGAAAGGCTTCATTTGTTGAATTTTAACTGGCCACACACCAGATTATGTGACTGGAATTCTTCCAGTTGAAATTGCAATTGCTGCCTTTAAAAAACAAAACAAAACACTATCTTTAGCCTTTAGAAAAGCAGACTGAGAGAGGTACAATAGCATTCTTCAAATACTTGAAAGGTTACCATAACAGGAGTAGGAGTAGGACCTGTTCTTGATCATCTCAAAAGGCAGAACATCTACTAATGGACTCAAGTTACAGGAAGCCAACTTTTGGTTGAATATGAGGGGAAAGCTTCCTGTTAGAGCACAACAGCAATAGAAACCATTACCTCAGGAGGTGGTGAGCACTCCAACGTTGATGGCATTCAAAAGAAAGTTAGACAGTCATTTGTCAGAGATCTTGAATTCCTGCATTGAAGAGGGAGTTGGATTCAATGGCCTTATAGATCACTTCCATCTCCATTATTCTAGGATTCTTTTCATGTGTATTAAGAGTATTACCAGAGTGTTTTCATTTTCCAGCCGTGCACCCTTTCTACAGTTGTCTCCTTCATTGCGGCAGTTGTGTCTGCACCCCGTTCAATATCTCTGCAATCTGATTAAATCACTACAAAACTCTATGATGGGACAAAACAATTATTATATTTTGTATTCAGACTCTGCAGGTGGAGTTCAATGCTATTGTACATCCATCAGTTCAGATGCAACTGAATCCATTGCTCACCTGTTCGAAGTTGACATGGTAATCCCATGTGCATCTCTTTAGAAAGAAATCTAGGTCAGTTCAATAGAGTTAACCCTTAGGTAGGGAGTTACAGCACAAGGCTGCAGTTCTGCTCATCTACATCTTCAGTAAGCCTCCTTGAAAGCAGTGAGACTTACTTTAGAGTAGACATGGCTAGGCTTGTGCTGCAAGTCAATTTTATTGCAATCAGTGCTATTACTCCAAAAAAACCAAACAGGTTTCTCTACCAAGTCCTATAACTCCTAGACTGATCTGGAAAAATCCAAACAAATTCAGAATAAAGACTAATTAAAACTTTAAAAGAACTTTAAAAAATAAAATAGAAAGGATAAAGCACATCAAAGGGTGTTATCTGACGTAGAGATCTTAATCCTCTCAATTGTTAGCCTTGTCCCCTAAAAAAAAACTATTCTAGTAAATCATCCACAAAACACATCATTGCATCAATACATTTTTTTAAAAAAAACTTAAGGGTTAGCTTTCTGCTAATCACAGACTTACCAACTCTAAACTGTATTGATACCACCTGAGGTTTATGATCACTATGTCACCTCCAGAATTTTTGCTGAGTCTTCCACCTGGCTACAACCCCAATTGGTGGATTGAGAACAAAGAGAGAATTTCTAGTGGCAGGTGCTACTGCTCATCACCCATTGACCCACCTCTCAATAGTATATATATTCCTTGGCCTTCATCTTCATCATCGCTAGGCAAATACTTGATCAGTGTTTGTTATCTGTGTCTTGCTTTCTTTTTCCCCAGTAGGATTTAAAAGATGGCTTCTCAAATACGTCAGAACTTTGATGCCGAGTGTGAGGCTTCTGTGAACCGGCTGACAAACCTTGAGCTTTATGCTAGCTATGTGTACTTGTCTATGGTAAGTAGAATTTTTTTATTGTTCATGTCTGGTGCTACTACACATAGGGGTGACCTTCTCTTTACTCCAAGCCTAGCCCTCCCTGTTAAGCCTTAGAAAAAGTAATGTAAGAGGTAGCCATGTTAGTCTGTTTTGTAACAAAAACAAAAACCCAGAAATAGCAATGCAGCAGCTAAATAATTTTTATTTTGTATAGGCTTTTGAGTGTTTGAGCACAGTTCTCCAGATGAATAGACTTCTCAATTCATCTTGAGGAGTGTTCTTGGACACACAAAACTTTATGGAAAATAAAAACTAGTTAAGTGCTACATTGATATGTCTGGGGTTTTTTTTGTTTCATGTTAAATCTCTTGTATGCCATCTACTAGATTGTTTCCTAATGAGCCTTTTGGCTGTGGGACTGTGATTATGCTCAATTTCAGCCGTTACACTGTCCCAGCATAGTTTCTACTGGTTAGATTTCTTCTGTTTCATAAAATTTGGAGATTCTGGGTGTGTTCAGAGAGGGTTTTGGACTGCATTCTGGAGCACCAACCACTTGGTCTCATCACTGTATTTGCTGATGACCAGACAATGTACTGCAGATCACAAACCAACTCAATTCTGCTTTGTACTCTGCTCAGACCTTTTTGGCCAAGGGCTGCTCTTTTTTCTGGACCAGGCTGATGCAATTGGAATCAGACAGAAGAGTTGCTTTAAAGGATCCTTTTTAAGATTGAACCCTAGAGATGACTCTTTATTTATGTTCGGGTCTGCTCACACACAATTTCACCCAGTACTTGCATCACTGAGCCAAATATGCTAGCTATTCCAGATGCACCTTCCTACACAGAGGCAGTGGTGGCTTGAGTGGATTCTTATAAATTGTGTTGCTGTAGATTTGCTGAAATACATGCCCATTTTACTCCAGAGTAACAAAGTATCTCTGTTTCAATGGTGGATTTCTTTCTTCCTCCTCTAGTCTTGCCACTTTGACCGTTGTAGATTTGCTGAAATACATGCCCATTTTGCTCCAGAGTAACTAAGTATCTGTTTCGATGGGGGATTTCTTTCTTTCTTCCTCCTCCTCTAGTCTTGCCACTTTGACCGCGATGATGTAGCTCTGTGCCACGTGGCTGAGTTTTTGAAAGAGCAGTCACAGGAAGAGAGGGAACATGCTGAAAAATTGCTGAGATATCAAAACAAGCGAGGGGGGCATGTTGTGCTACAGGATGTCAAGGTGGGTCACGTGGAAGTCTTTTTTTGCCTTCACATGAGAACACAATAACACCTGATGTTGCTTGTGTGTAGCAATACCTTCATAGCATTGCCTTCATGGGTGTATTGTTTGTCTCTCCTCCTCGACACAGAAACCAGAGAAGGATGAGTGGGGCAACACTCTGGATGCCCTGCAGAGCGCCTTAGAGCTGGAGAAGAAGGTCAACCAGGCCCTGCTGGATCTTCACAAGCTGGCCATGGAGAAGGGAGACCCTCATGTGAGTTAGCTTCCATGACAGTAAGGAACTTCAAGCAAATCAACATTGGCTCTGAAGATGGGCAGTATTTATTAGAAAGTATGTCAGAAACAGCTGTTCCACCTGCAGTGTTTCTCTCTACGGTCACGATGCAACTTGCCTTAAGCCTCTTGCATCCCTCAGAGCTTGGGAATCAGTGTGTAAAACACAGACTCGGGATGAAACAGGTTTCTATCTTACAGATTCTAGTAACGCTGACTGGAAGTGGTCCTTGGAGGTTATTTCTTAGTCTTGCCAGTTAAAACTTGTTGGTCTGCAAGAAAATAATGAAGGCCAGCTCAGAGGTGGTAACCAACAGGGGTGTTACGTTCCTTCTCTGTTGGTGAAGCTACCCACTTCAAAGCTTTGCAGTGCAAATGACAAGTCCATACACTGATGATGTACTTGTGTGTTTTTCTGTGTGCTTGAGAAGAGAGACCTTCATGTGTGTTAACACCTATAATAGTAAGGGAGGGCAGACAAAAATAATCAATATATTGTATAAACACATCTTGATGTTGTTACATGCTGTCATGTCAGAACCAGGTTATAGTGACCTTAATGGAGCTTTCAAGGTGAATTATATATTTAAGGAGTGGTTTTACCAGTTCCCCACCCCCACTGAGTTTATACGGCTATGAGGGGGTTCGAACCCAGATGTCCTCAGTTCTAGCCCACCACTCTGTACACCAGGTATCTAATAATTATGTGCCATCAATTCTGAGATACAGTGACCCTTTTCAGAGTTGTCAATGATGCTCAGAGGTTGTCTTACTATTCCCTTTTGGGAGGGCCTTGGGACTGGGTGCACTTTGCCCAAGGCCACCCAAGCCTACCCCTGGGAGAAAGTGAACTCCCAACCTCTGATGCCTAATTCTCTGAAGTATCCAGCCATCTCTCACCTTGAGGAATAAGGCACAAAAATCCTTCTGCAAGGTTTATTTTTGTAGCTTTGTTCCTGGCACATCTCCATGATAACTATGTCAGCTTCTTGCTGGTAATGTGCAGAATTCTGATTGAAGAAAAACACACACAAGCTCTTCTAAAAAGACATGTGTATTAGCAAAAATATGTACAAATATACAAAGCAGCAGTCCTTCGGCGTGGCAGCAAAATAGAGACAAGGTGCATAGAGGATAGCAGTATAGAGGGAAGAGAAGATGCATTTACATTCACATTGTTTACTTATATACACTTGAGCTGGAGCTTCTGTCCAATCACGTCATGTGTTGCATCATCTCCTTTACACGGGTGTTGCATCATCCACAGATGTTGCATCTTCTTAGTCACTGTGACTCAGCACTTGCACAGGTGATCATCATGGCAGCTCATTAATATTACAGTCTGGACCTGTTCAGGCCTATAAAATTCTCAGTACTCTGACAAACTAAAAAACTGGAAGTTGGGAAGGCTTCATGTCACCACTTCCTCTGCCTTTAAGTCACATAAAACAGCTGCTGCTAATAAAGGTCTCCTCCTCCAGAAGACCAATATCCCATGCAGCTTGCTTCCCTTTGAAGATACTCCTTTGACTAGGGACCACCAAGGCTTGCCTGAGACATGTGCAATAAATTGTGTGCCCTTTTGAGCCTGGTTTGTCTTTTTGCTTCCCTCAGCTGTGTGACTTCCTGGAGTCGGAGTTCCTCGAGGAGCAAGTGAAGGCCATTAAACAGCTGGGAGACCACCTCACCAACCTGAGGCGCCTGGGCCTGCCTGAGAGTGGCATGGGAGAGTATCTCTTTGACAGGCTCAGCCTGAAGAAGAGTAGTGGAAAGCTCTAAACTCTAAAATGTATGCCCTATGTGAGAAAAAAATAAAATGTTATTGGCAATCAATGTTCCTGGCATCTAAACTTCTTCCTAAATTTGCTATTTGGAGGTGATTTTGGCCTGTTCTGATCTGTTACTAATCCTATGCCATGTGTGCCCCTTCTCTGTGGTGGTTGTTTAGTCATTAAGTTGTGTCCAACTCTTCGTGACCCCATGGACCAGAGCATGCCAGGCCCTCCTATCTTCCACTGCCTCCCGGAGTTGGGTCAAATTCATGAGGCACTCCTCTTCAAACAGAGTAGACTACTGTAGTGCAAAGAGTTCTGGATGCATATTCCCATAGTTCTTCATAACCGACTCTCCTGGTTTGGGCTGATGGGGTTTATAGGCCAAAGTTGCTAACCACCTGAATTGGAGAAGTCCTAAAAGTAGTGCTGTCTTTGAAGCATACCCAGTCTCCCGTAGTATGTTGTTCCTTTTTCCATTTTCTCCGGTCTCGGCTGCCTTTAGCAAAACATGCTGCAGAGTTTTAATTTTGTTGGCACAGTTGTTTATACCCATGTGTCAAATCCGCACAAAGGCATTTAAAAGCTGCAGGCACGGGAGAAAAAAACACACACACACTGAAAACTTGAGCAAAATACAGGTGTTCATCCCTGGCTGAAATAGTTTCTAATAGTAGTAACTTGCACTAGAGTAGAACCATTGACTGGGCAGAGATTTGGTGAGTTCCTCTAAGTTCCATGTCTCAAATTGACCTACTCCAGGAGGGACTATGTTAAAAATAAGTTACAACTAAAGTAGGCCCATTTGAATCAATTGAACTTGCAGAGTTGACTGGTCAAATCCCCATGGATTCAATGGGCCTATTCTAGTGTGGCTTTTTATGACAAGCAACAGGATTTCCACCACTGTGCTCAAAATCTGGACAGCAAAGATTGTTAATGCTTCAATTCCCCCAATAAAAAAGCCTTGAAAGGGTCAAATGGTAGAGTGGTTAAGAGTACTGGATTGTGATTTAAGAGATTCAGGTTTTAGCTGTGTAACTCATGGCCCAAAGCTTGCCTTTTCCAAAGTACTGTTTCCCTTTCATGAAATGGGAAACTCCAGTGATGTTAATAGGAGTGACGAGTAGAAGCACCTAAAGAAAACAATTCCTATGTTTCAGGATCATAGCCATGGAAAAGGAAAAGTGTTGGATAAGAATGGCTGCATGAAAAGGAAGATGTCTGCACCTTTAAGAGTCAGGCTGATGAGAGCATTGTGGTGGGGACAGCTTCTCTGATAAACAACACCGGCTCTAAATCCTCCTTTTATACAAGCAATTAAAGATAAAGGTGCTCTGTCTGAATTCCCCTTTTCCATCCACCCTTGCCAACGAAAGGCCACAATTTACATGCTGCAAACTGAAATAAGTAATTTACGGTTATTGGTGCAGTGGAGAAACTGGGACAGATAAAACCCGAAGGAGTCAAATATGTAATTAGTAATGTTTATAGGCCATCAAGATGATTTTGACATAGGGTGACCCTCCTACATTTTCTAGGTATGAAGTGCTCAGAGGTGGTTTATAAATTCCTCCCTAGAGATGGGCACAAATTGCTTTGGCCCAGTTTGCACCTCACCCAGCCAGCTGCCCCACTCACAATTCACTACATGCCACCTGGGTGGTCCTCCTTGAGCGGCTGTCCAGTCTGAGCAGGAGTTCAGATTTCCCTTTCCTGTCTCCTCCAGTAGCTGACCACTCAGATGAGGAGGCAGGGTGGGGATTCTTGCTGCATAGCCATTGAGTGGTTTGCTGTTGGAGGAGGCGGGGAAGGGAAATCCAAGCTCCTGCCTGAACTAGATAGCATCCTATCAAGGAGCACCTCAGCGGTAAACACCGGATTGGCTGGGGTGTGAGGGAAAGGGAATGTGCAGCACTTGGAGTGCTGTGCATACAAACTGGGCTAAAGGACAACAAAGCGCTTCATGTCCATCTCTATTCTTCCCGAGAATGCTCCGGATTGTGCAAGTAGCTCAAGGCAGCCGGGCAGGCGACCCCATCAGTCACACAAGTTCCACATGATCTCAGCTGGCCCTTCTCCTGGTTGATTCCAACTCCTTGTGCTGCTTCTACTCACTGAGCTATACCAACTCAGTGAAATATGCAAGGAGCACGGACTCAATGACCCCCATGATACTCTTCCGAAAGCCAACATTTTAACTGGTCTGGGGGGGAGGCATGTAGTCAAGAACCAGGGATGTTGGCAAGTCTTCTGATCTGAATCCAAGTCTTTGTGCCTCAAGTCTAAGTCTCGAGTCATTTGCTCCACCTACCCCCAGGGGGCACAGGCACAGACAGGGCCTGGAAGGCAAGCCGGACCAGTGCATGTGCAGAGACCCTTGTCCCACATCCCTTCAGGGAGCTGACCTATCAGCTGGGCGGCAGGTGTGTGAGCGGAGGGAGCAGCCAGCTTCTGGAAGGGAAAGCGGTCTGGAGACCTCTGAGGATGATGTTGGTGGCGGTGGCGGTGGTGACAGGAGCAGGCAGTGAGGGCCATTCCTAATAGAAACTCAACAACGAGACTTGGAAAAATGGGTGCAAGTTGTGAGTCAAGTTGAGTCTTTCAAAAAAATAAAGCCAAGTCAAGTCAGAATCAGGTCGCTCTTGTGACTCGAGTCAGACTTGACAGTCAGTCGCCAACCCTGAATGAGACCAGGTAACCTTCCTGGGAAAGGATTACTGTAAGGCTGAGAGACAGACCCCAGAGCTTGAGTGACCAAAACAGGCAAACAGGAAAATCTGACAGGAATTTCACAGCAGACTTTGACAGAGGAGGCCCCTAATTAATTTGTGGGGAGGAGGGTGTGGACTTCCCCAGTATCTTTCAAGACAGGCAAGCCAAAGGGACTCACATATAAATAGAAGTAAAAAAAAGGATGACAGGGATTGAGGAGGGAAGCGACCCTTCTGTGGTGATCGGCAAAGTGTGGGAAATGTCTCCAGATCTGAGCAGAGGGTTGGACTTGATGGCCTGATAGGCACCTTCAGCTCCGTGATTCTATGATGCTACGATAGCTGTTCTTTTTTTTTTAATTCAACATACAAAAAATAAAAATAGAGCAAGAAAAAAGAGAATAATTAAAAAAAACTAAACTAAACCCTCCCCCCTTTGGAGTCAGAGACTCCAGCCTCATTAACCCTCTGCTCTCCCCAGTTTGGTTTCCAGTGTAAACTAAGTAGATATACAGATTTAGTAAAATTTGCCCTACGCTCCTGTCTTTCTCTGGGCCCAAGAGTATATTAGTTCCCAGCTTTGTTTTACATAGTCTCTTGGTTGTTCCCATAGTGCTTTAGAGTGTCCAGTTCTGCTGTATCCCATAACTTCTTTAACAGCTCTTCTATTGTTGGAACCTCTTCGGTTTTCCATTTTTGGGCCCAGAGTAATCTGGCTGCTGTGAGTATATACATCAGACAATGCTTCAATTTTTTATCATTAATTCCTGGCATGACATTCAATAATACCATTTTAGGTTTTATATCTAGTTTCTGCTGGGTAATTTCTTTTCTCCCCTCCCACACCTGTGCCGAATAATTTTTGACTTTTGACTGATAGATACATCCGTTGCACCAGAATGTGGAAGGGACTAGATAACGTCTGTTCCCTTTCTTGATAATGAAGAAATCATATCATAATAACTAAACAAGGAATAACTTCATTCCTTTTATATTATAACAGTAACTCCTCATTTGCTTTTCTAGTTATGGAGAGAATCGCCTCACCAACTGAAGGAGGAGGAATATCACAACGGCTCGAACATTGCAGTGCAGTAGTTAAACTGCAGTACTGCAGCTGAAACTCTGCTCACAACCCAGGTTCCAGCCCAGGTAGCTGGCTTGGGGTTCATACATCCTTCTCTACTTCCGAGGTCAGTAAATGAGTACCCAGCTTGCCGGGTGGGCAACGCATAGCCTGTATAACTGCCCAGACAGTGCTGTAAGCGTTGTGGCACAATATATAAGCAGCACACTTTGCTTTATGTCCTGATGTAGTGATGACAGGACCTCTTCCTCTGAGGATGAATAACAGTAACAAAAAGAGCCTTCGCTTGCTCATCTGGATATTCTGATTTCAGGAAGCCACACCGGTGAGAGACAGAAAGATGCAATAGCTAGAAATTGCAATAACGGATTGTAACATGTCATTGCTAAAGCTCAGGACAAGCTTCTGTGGGCATCTGTCAAAGAAAAGTTCAAAAAGCAGCAGGGAGACACGTGATGTTTATCTTTTGGAGGAGATGCATATTAGCAATAGTTGAGAGAAATGGCTCAAAGACATAAGAAATTGCTATAACAAGCTCACACTGACAGCTAAGTAAGTCGTCGACAATTTTCTACCAAGCCCTCCATCTCCGGTAAGTTGTTAAGGCAGCCAACAGGTAAGATTATTGATTTTATACTTTTTCATCCACAGGAGGCAGCAGTGGAGATTTGGCTACAGGGGTTGCAGGAAAAAAGGAGACCTAATTTAGAGTAATGGGGAGATTGATTGTGATTCAAAGGATAAGCAAGGGTTTTTCTGTATTCATTCTTTGCCCAGAGAATGTCTTCTGAAAGATCTACAAAATGCTTCTGGCAGAGTGAGACAGCACACACACTGCTAAGCAGCTCTGCTTCTATCTTTATCTTTTTATTTATTTTGTCTTGTTTTGTAGTTTCAAAGCAAGATGATACATGTTTTCAAATAAAGAGTATTAGATACGAGAGCACAGTTGGATATAGCTGATCCGTCATCTGTAAGATCTATGAAAAGGTTAGCAAGGACTAAAAGCCAATTTCAGGAGGGGAAAAAATTGTCTTATGACAAGCTGTCTAACAAAATTCTATAGCTTTAGTATTCTATAATTTGGCTACATTTGCATGCTGAATGTTTGCTGTTGCTTTTGTTATTAGCTTGTGTGTATTTGAAATGGTCTAAAGAGTTGTTCCATAAAGTATCTGCCACACTGCACCAAATGTCATAATGTAGTTCATATCCACTGAGCCATTTTTGTGTGAAACATAAATTACACGAGGCAGCTCT